TTTGTGCGTACATATAGATAGATAGATAGATACAGATATAGATATATGTGTGTGTACATATATATACATAATATAGAGATAAATATACATATAAAGAGGAATTTAAAAACTTTTACATATATGAAGCAGATATACCATATATTCACCAAAAGAGAGTCAGGAAGTGATATTTTACCTCATCACATGTACTGCTTTCATTCCCCACCATTTCGCTCGTTCTCCTTGCGCTGATCGTACCGCACGGCCGCTGGCATGAAGTTCCACAGGACTGAACACACGAAGGCCATTCCCGAGAGCACGTACATACTAACGGCATAGCTCTGGCTCATGTCCCGAATCAGGCCTAGAAAATATGGAGAACTTACGTAGGTATGTAGTGAGGTGTGTGTCTTTATCTCCCTGCATTGCTATGTATTTTCCTGTGTATGTGGGTTGTCTCTATTTCATTATCCACTTCTGTTCATATTCTTTTCTGATTATCTTTGCTGGACCAGGATCGATGTTAAGATTGGATATCAGTAAGTTAAAGGTAACATTACTATAACACAAAAATACATAAGTACATACATATACACAGATATGCATATACATATACACGTATGTATTTATATATATGAATATATATGTATGTTTACAAATATTTATTCATATTTACGTATATACATACATACATGATATATATATATATATATATATATATATATATATATATATATATATATATATATATATATACATGTGTGTGTGTGTGTATGTGCGTATGTATTCATGTAGATGACTTGGACAGAATTGCTCACTCCCATGGGTACCCTTTACCCCGTTACTTACGTACCTGGCGTGTCTTAAGAAGTCCTAAAAACTTCCGGAAGTAATTAGCATAATCTATTACGGGAAATCAATAACCGCGACTAATGAGGGAGAACATGCACACCTGAAGGGCGCCTCCCCCCCCCCCTCACCAAAGCAATAATGATAAGGAGAATAAGAGGAAGAAGAAGAAACAGACAACAAAAAAACATGCACCCAGCTGCAGACATGGAAGGTGCCCCCTCCCCCTCCCGTAGGAAAAGAGAAGAAGAAGCAGACAAACAAACTATCAACCAGGAGCACATTCTCCCCCAGACACACTATGGACTGAATGATCTAGCCCCATGGGTACCCTCTACCCCGTTACGTACGTATCTGAGGTGTCATAACAGGAAGTAGGCCTAAAGACTTCCGGAAGAGGAAGAAGTGGACAAAAAGACAAACATGTACACAGCTGCAGGTGTTACAGGTGATCCCCTCCTCCCCTTCCATTCCCACCGCCCCCCCCCCCCCGTGCGTGTATGTGTGTGTGTGCAGAAAGAGAGACACACAGACAGACAGAGTGAGAGAGACAGAGAAATGAGACACATCTTAGGACAAAAACTTGCAGCGTAAAAATGTTAACTCACCTATCGACGGTCCAATGGTGATGAAGCAAAGGCCTACAAGCATCAGCGTAACTCCGAACGTAGGAATCAGTTTCTCAATGCCCATGTACTTCACGATCACCAGGTTGTAGGTCCCCATGTAGCCTCCGACGCCCAAGCCCCACACACCCATCACAACGATCAGCAATGTGATATCATCTATGAAACTGAAAGCTGCAAGAGAAAGGGTAAGCTTTGGTGTGAAGAGAGAAACACCATTTTGCGAATGTTTTTATCTATACAAAGTATTCGGTTGTTAGAAGTAAAATGTCCAAATACCTAGTATTGAGGCGGCGATGATGGCAGTGCTGACCATGCAACTAATTCTCATGTTGAAAAATTTAAAGTCAGATAGCAGAGAGATTCCTAGACTTGCAATCAGAATACACACAGCGGACGCCGTCACGCACCAGGCTGCCTCTTGGAAAGAATAACCTGCCGCTTGGACAGCAAAGGGCACTAGTGTTAAAAAATTCAGCCAGCTGTTGAGAGTAAGAGCTCCGCTGACAGCAATGATGACAGCTCGGGGTGATTTCAGAACTCTCACGTTTGTGACGGTGCTACAGATCACTCTTAGTATCAAGCCGCATAGCTTTTTGCTTTTTTTGGAGTCACCGGAGTCTTTGTGTATAGGGCGGAAGACCGAAGCGCCGACGCAGGCATTGAACACGACCGCACCAGTGATTAGCGTTGCCCCTTTGAACCCTAAGCTTTCTTGGAGATACCTAACAAGGAGCGGGCCAAAGATCGGACCACATGACACCCCTGTCACCAGGATGGCATTTGCTATGCCTCGACGCTTGCAGAAATAGTGTGGGACGATTAGGTAACACAGGTTATTCAAAAGGCCGCAGCTTAATCCTGTGGAGATGGTACATGGATATACTGTAAGTCAGACTTCCAGATTAGGATCTTTTGACTTATTACTCATCTCTTAAACTATAAACAGGATACAACACATAATATAAACAGATGAAACATGCAGATGTAAAAGAACATTCAATAGTCTGTAGAAGTACCTAACACTGACCTCCCACGATGGAGTA